GATAGATAGATAGATAGATAGATAGATAGATAGATAGATAGATAGATAGATAGATAGATAGACAGACAGACAGACAGATGTTGGATGGATAGATGGAACAAAGGATGACTGACAGACAGACAGATAGACAGATAGATAGATAGATAGATAGATAGATAGATAGATAGATAGATAGATAGATAGAGAGATAGATAGATAGATAGACAGATAGACAGATAGACAGGCAGATGTTGGATGGATAGATGGAACAAAGGATGATAGACAGACAGACAGACAGACAGACAGATAGACAGACAGATAGATAGATAGATAGATAGAGAGATAGATAGATAGATAGACAGACAGACAGATGTTGGATGGATAGATGGAACAAAGGATGATAGATGGACAGACAAATAGAACGATGTAACAATAGATAGACAGACAGACAGATGTTGGATGGATAGATGGAACAAAGGATGATAGACAGATAGATAGACATATAGATAGATAGATAGATAGATAGATAGATAGATAGATAGATAGATAGATAGATAGATAGATAGATAGATAGACAGACAGACAGCGGACAGACAGACAGACAGACAGACAGAAATAGATGGAACAAAGGATGACAGACAGACAGATAGACAGATAGATAGATAGATAGATAGATAGATAGATGTTGGATAGATAGATAGATAGATAGATAGATAGATAGATAGATAGATAGATAGATAGATAGATAGATAGACAGACAGACAGACAGACAGACAGAAAAACGATGGATGGATGGAACAAAGGATGATAGACAGACAGATAGACAGACAGACAGACACAGATAGGAAAACGATGGATGGATGGAACAAAGGATGATAGATGGACAGACAAATAGAACGATGTAACAATAGATAGACAGACAGACAGATGTTGGATGGATAGATGGAACAAAGGATGATAGACAGACAGATAGATAGATAGATAGATAGATAGATAGATAGATAGATAGATAGATAGATAGATAGATAGATAGATAGATAGATAGATAGATAGATAG